TACCCGAGTATCAAAACAATAATATCAGCATTAGAAAAATCATCGCGGATCAGTGAACTTGGCAATTCTTGGTGATCCCGTCAGCTAGTGTTGAGAAATCTTCCAAAGGGGGGTCCTCGAGGAGCCCATCCGAACTGTGCCTGATATCAACGAGTAAATTTGATATGCAAATGTGTGTTATTTTCCGAGATTAAACTATATAGCATATACAATGGAGTTTCATCCTAGTGATGTGAAAAACATATTTCACAACTACTGCATATCACCGCGAATATCGGGTTTTTCACAAAGTTTTATGCCACTTCGCGTAAAACGGGTGAAACGCCGAAATAACAATGGCTATGAACATATGTTGTGATGAAAGTACCCGTTTGGGACTGTGATGATAGCGACAACTTGTTCACTATAATTTGTCCTACAAAATAACACACATTTGCATCGATCAAATTCACACGTACTGTACTTGACGTGTGTTTTTGTTTGCAAAAACGCAAATACGCGAAAAATTCATTTCCGAGGAATCCTTGAAAATATATTATTTTTCCATACGGAAGATTCGTGTGAGATTACTTGGCGAAATCGATCACGCGATCGATTTATCTAGATGAATTTTTCCTCTGTACGGTATCAAATCTTCTGACCTTTTGAAGAGAACCCACTGTGAACTTATATGCACATGGTCAACTACAATGTGTTTATAAAAAGATGAAAATTCTGAAAAAATTACGAAAAAATTATTGTACACTTCTACCCAAAATCGTGTATAAATTTTCATAATGTTATGAGGAGACTCACGACCTCATCTGAATCATGTTCGGTCAACCTCAAGATACCCCCGGTCTCACTCAGCAATAGCCCACAACAACATGGCCTTGTCTCTAGCGGTCATTCGCTTTTCTCGTATGGCTCTTGATAGCATTGGTGTCAAATACTTAACAGCATCAGCTCGAAACCGCGCACGTGCCTGAGTTCGCGAGAGTATCAACATAAAATTTTTAAATTTTTTTATTAGTTTTTTTACACTTCTACCCTGATTCTATAATTGGTGACGGAAAGTGTGCGAAGAGTTCGGGTGGTGACAATATGAAAACACTCACACGTTTGGTTTTTATACACTTCTACATGAAATGTTATGAACATGTGATGTGATAAAAGTAACCTTTCGAGACTGTAATAGCGACAAGTTGTTCACTATCATTAATCCCAGAATAGGAAACGACGCACATTCTCCACATTTGCATATCAAATTGGCATGCGCCTTCACTCACGTCCCAAAAACCGCGCTATCTGTCTTTATATCATCAAATTCCAATAGAGTAATACTTTACCACTTCACGTTGAACAAGTGAAATTCCATTGTATGTGTTTGTCATCAGATATGGACGTATGAATTCTCTCGATCTGTCGAGTATGTGTTTCTCCTGGTTTCTGATAGCAGTTTCTGAGCTCTCAGACCCAGCACTACAAGGGCCTATTGCTCTAGCCACAGCTCAGAAGGTAAGCAACTGTGAAGCATGCAGAATATATAATGTAGTTTCACGACCGTGATAGTGGAAAACACATTTCAAATTTCACCTCGCGAAGAACAACTGTGTGATCGGTCACTCAATGGAGTATTAATCCACTTCACGTTAAACGGGTGAAACTCTATTGGGACTTCGCGTATTTTCACTACGTTCGTTCGTTTTAATTATTTCTCAACGACTACACCAGTTGAGCTCTCGAGACGCATACCATTCGGAAGAGTGTAGTTCATGTATCCTACAAAGATATTAAAATACTCTCATACCCGCCCTTTATCGTGTAATGGCCGCGAACGGAAAAATGCCCTCGCCGTGAATTGAACCCGCGACCGTTACCAACCTACCAACGCCCAAGTGATAGTAGTAGCATCTTGCGGGGTCATCTCCATAACTCTGTCCCTAGCACACAATACAGCTTTCTCCGCGATCTCTTTAGAATCCAACCCGGCTCTAGTGAGAGCCCATAGACACGAAGCCAGCGCTCTGGCAGGGAACCTGAATATGTGCACTATGAAAGTTTCGAGCGATTTGAAATTCCTCAAAATTTTCGTAATGGAAACTCAACTTACTATTGTTGGTTTCTAAACACTTCCACCAGAATTCGTATGTAAGCTACTATGATGTAGTGAAAAAATTCCTGAGCTGAGGAAACAAAATATATATCCCAAAATTTTCTCAAGGTTTCACAATTGTCACCAACACATGTAGTTGACCATGTGCATATTTTCCTACACTGTTATAGAGTATTAAGAATTCGCAATTTCTCCGAATTCTTGAGGCACTCCACGACAGTGTTGAAGTAGGGATATATGTTCGTTTTCCTCTGCTGAGCTCAGGGGTTTCCTATACAGTGTTGGAGTAGGAATATATGTTCGCTTTCCTCAGCTGAGCTCAAGAGTTTCCTAT